GATTACTCCAAAAAGTTACCCCCAGGAGATGTTACAAATGCTTCGATTTTGGACATGTGGCAAGGAACTATCAGAGCTCCAAAGACTGGTCTAAACACTGCTACAAGTGTGGTGGAGAGGACCACCTTGCTAAAGCGTGTCAAGGTGTCCCTCACTGCCTACTTTGTAGAACTGACACAAATATTGACGCTAACCATATTACGGGAGGACCTAAATGTCCCCACTACTTGACTGCCCGCCGGAGGATACTAAATAAAAAAAGATGAAAGTTTTACAGCTGAACTTAAACCACTGTGAAGCGGCACAGGATCTTTTAAAGCAGACTGTACGCGAATTAAAAATAGATCTAGCTATAATGAGCGAATATTATAGTACACTAGACAATCACTGCTGGGCTACCAGCAAGTGCAACAAGGCATCGATATGGACGTGTGGTAAATTCCCACTAGAGAAGGTCTACGACGGAGGGTAAGCATACGTAAAAAGTACAGTGAATGGAATAACGTTTTTCATCTGTTGTTTACCCCCTAGTCTATCAATCGAAGAATACAAACAAAGACTGGACAATATTGTTAGCGACGCTAAAAATATGAAGCCGATAGTGATTGCCGGTGACTTCAATGCTTGGGCCATTGAATGGGGCTCAACATTGACAAACCCCAGGGGAGAGTGCCTACTAGAAGCATTGGCCACCCTGGGTGTAGTATTACTGAACTGCGGCCAAAAGGATATATTCACAAGGAACGGTAGAAGCTTTAAGATTGATTTGACATTTATCAGCGATCCACTAGCTAATTCAACTGAGTGGCAAGTGTCAGATATCTACACAGATAGTGACCACCAAGCTATCATATTCGAAATACATGACCGCGCAGCAAGAACCATTCCTGCGGTAGCCACTCCAAATCCGCTATGGAAAGAGTTAACTTTGGACAAAGAAGCTTTTAAGCTCTCAATGGACGACATCCACCTAACTGGCAGTGCGAATGATAAAGCAATACAACTGATGCGCTGCATAACAAATTCATGTAACGCATCTATGGCAAAGAAAGGCCGGCGGAATGGCAGACAACATGTGTATTGGTGGACTGACCAAATTTCCGAACTGAGAAGAAAATGCAAACATGCGCGACGCCTATGTCAAAGAGCAAGGGGTCGCGAAAATTTTATAGTGCACCAAGAAGCCTATAAAACATCGAGAACTGACCTAAAAAAGGCGATATCGAATAGCAAGGCAAGATGCTTCAAGGAAATGTGTGAGGAGGTCGAGAATAACCCCTGGGGACTAGGATATAAAGTGATTATGAAAAAATTATATAGCTACCGTCCACCAGTTACAACAGACGCAGCTAAGCTACAAACAATAGTTGAAGGTCTCTTCCCGCAGAGAGCTGATATAACCTATACAATACAAGATAGTGAGCCACAGAATGAAATACCTGAGGTTAGCAGGCAAGAATTGGAAGTGGTATGCAAAGGTTTGAAACTAACCAAAGCACCTGGAGTAGATGGAATACCAAACCTGGCACTAAAGATGGCCACAGAAACCAACGCTGATTCATTCAGGGAAGTGTTCAACGCATGTATAAAGGAGAGAACATTCCCCCAGATATGGAAAATACAAAGGTTGGTGCTCATACCAAAGGGCAATAACGTACAAGATGCATCAGGCTACCGCCCGCTATGTATGATTGATACGGCCGGTAAACTTTTGGAAAAGATAATTAGCCGAAAACTAGAAGAAGCCTTGAATGGCAATGGTTTATCAGATAGACAATTTGGTTTTCGGAAGGCACGCTCCACAATAGAGGCCGTGGAAGCAGTCATAGCCATAGCAAAAGATGCCATTAAAGGAGACCGTTGGCTCGAAGGAGACAAAGAATACTGTGTCATCATTACATTAGACGTTAAAAACGCATTTAACTCAGCGGACTGGGACACTGTTCTAGCAGCACTTCAAGGGAAAGACGTTCCAAAGTACCTAGTAGAATTAATCGTTGACTATTTTAAAGAGAGAGTGCTTTTGTATTACACAGACAGAGGCACAAAGTCATACCAAGTAACAGCAGGGGTACCACAGGGCGCGGTACTGGGTCCAATATTGTGGAACATTATGTATGACGGAGTGCTGAGACTTGAGCTCCCAGAAGGCGCAGATATAATTGGATTTGCTGATGACATCGCGCTGGTGGTTAAAGGGAAACATATAGAAAAGATACAATCAACATGCAACGATGCGCTCGCTATGGTAAGGAACTGGATCACAAGTGTAGGCCTCAAACTTGCTGATCATAAAACTGAAGTCCTTCTTGTAAGCAGCAGGAAAAAGATTGAGTACATTACAATATCTGTTGGCAATGAGCGAGTCACATCAAAACAAGCATTCAAGTATCTTGGAGTAATGATTGACAATAGACTCACCTTCAAAGAGCATTTACGATATGTTGCTGCAAAATGTGCGAAAACAACGTGTGCACTATCGCGAATAATGCCCAATATAGGTGGACCTAGACAACAGAAGAAGCAGTTATTGACAAATGTAGTTAAGTCTATTGCTATATATGCAGCTCCCATATGGGCAGATGCAATGAATAAAAAGACGTACCGATTAGGAGTAGACGCAGCCTACAGAAGATGCGCACTCAGAGTTGTTTCCGCATTCCGTACAGTATCTACTGACGCGGCCATGGTTATTACCGGAATGATGCCACTACAGCAGGAAGCAGAAATTGAAAAGGAAAAGCATGTAGTAATAAGAATTGGGGTTACAAACTTCAATCAGCTCAATGAAGAAGCATTGAATAAGTGGCAACAGAGTTGGGATATATCCACAAAAGGAAGATGGACGCATAGGCTCATTCCGAAGATAAGTGATTGGACCAACAGAAAGCATGGGCAGGTGAACTACTACCTAACCCAGATGTTAACTGGACACGGCTGCTTCAGAGCATATCTTTTTAAGTTCAAACATGACGAAGACGACACGTGCCCAGCATGTCCATATACAAAAGAAACGGTGGAACATGTGTTCTTTGATTGCCCGAGATATGAGAGCCACCGCAGCTCCTTGGCAAGAGCAACCAGAGAGCAGGTCACACCTGATAACATCATCCAACTGATGTTAAAGTCAACAGAAATCTGGAACCTGGTGTGTATTTTTGCGAAAGAAATCACAGAAGAACAGAGAACAGCAGAGAGAACTAGAAGAGCAGTAAGAGATGACAACAATCGCTGAATCACCACCCTCCGAAGTAATGCTTAAAGGTGGTTCCGGAGGGATTTATGGTTAGAAGAGACACGGTGTTAGGATGAGGTTTAGTACGTAGGCGCAAATATCAAGCAAAAGAGTAAGTCTTGGTTGCGAATCGTGCATGCTGGTAGTACGGGCTACCAGTATCTTTTGAAGATTCCACATCCCTTAGCTCGTATAGCTTAAAAAAAAAAAAAAAAAAAACATTTGTGCTGTGCGACTGATTTACAAAAATGTGCACAATCAGATGTGCGACAAAATTTTATGCTCGCACCGCACTGTGCGACAAAAAATTCTCTCTGCACACGAGTGTGTTGCTCATATTACGATTGCACAAATGTGCACAAATGTGCGATTGTACAAACGTGCACAAATGTGCGATTGCACAAACGTGCGCAATGTGCGATTTTGCGCTTGCACCCAAGGGTGGAAAAAAATTATAGGAACTTCACAATTTTGTTTGAAATAGAAAAATTATTTTGTTGCAAATTTTGAAAAAATTGATATTTGCGTTCGTTGGGATTGTAACTTATATTAAAAATTGCATAAATTAACAAATATTTAAAATAATTATTTTTGTTAAGTAATGTTAACTAAAAATTATAACTGTCTTAACCTTATTTTTATTTTAACTTAAAATATTAATTTTTTGTATATTACTTCCCAACTTTTGTGCATTTTTAAATGCAAATATAGTAAGTGAACTTAAAGTATTTGTTTGGAAAGTTTTGCACCAGTTTAAAAGAAATAAAAACATATTTTAGGAAGATTTTTTATGCCTAAAAAATATGTATTTACATAGGTAGAGTATCTAACTTTTATTAAAAAACACGAAAGATTAGGAAAATATTTTTTTTGAATAGGTAGCAGGTATTAGGATTGGTGTATTTGTTTAATAATATTTGCAACAGTTTAAAAAAGATAATACGGGAGGCCCTCAAATAGAAATTTTTCTTCTCCAGAAATATGTATTCACTTAGGTAGAGTATCTTACATTCATTAAAAAACGCGAAAGATTAGGAAAATATTTTCTTGAACAGGTAGCAGGAGTTTAGAGCCCTTTCTACTGTGTTAAGTAAACAGAGATATAATTTAAGTGAAAAAAATATTTCATTAATAAGATTAAATGAAAATTTATTTCAAAAAATATGTAATAAAAATTATGTAT